TCTCTTTGAAGCTTTGGACGTGATAGAGTCAACATGGGCGTTCCATTTTAGATCGTTTTGTAAGGTGACTCCTAGCAGTTTAAAACAGGTGACCTTCTCTAAAGGTTGGGAGTTGATCGACAATGTAGAAGACAGTTCTTGCGGGGGGTTGCGAAGAAAAGAGATGGTAAAGTCCTTGCACTTTTTAGGGTGTAATTTCATGTTATTACTCATCGACCAGGCATTAATAGAGTGGAGATCTTGTTGTATTCCAGGGGGGGAGTTACGATGGATGGCTTGGGAGATGGTAACGTCATCAACAAAGATCCAATTACTAGACCTCAACGGAGAATGGCTGGCAAGGTCGTTGATCATTACGAGGAATAGGATAGGGCCAAGCTTGGTACCCTGCGGGACACCGGCAGTAACAGGAGCCCAGTTAGAGGTAAATTGATTAACTTTTACAGACTGCATCCGACCAGACAAAAAGCTACAGATCCACGGGATCAAGGCTCTTCGTACGCCGAGGTTGATAAGTTTCGAAATGACGATGTTGTGGTCGATCCGATCGAATGCTTTACAAAAGTCAAGAAAGCAAACGCGGATGTATTTTCCAGGGTTATCGAGGTGATTTAGCCAGTTATGAAGGATATCGAGAAGGCAAAAAGTAGTGGAAGTGCCTTTTAAACAGCCAAATTGCTGGGGGTCGATTTTATGACCTAAGTCCGAAATGATCCAATTTACCACAAAGTCCTCCAATACTTTGGAGAGACAGGGAGTCAAGGATATAGGTCTAAGGTCACCTTCATCAGAAACAGGCTGAACTTTTGTTATAGGTATTATCTCAGACTTTTTCCAAGCAGTTGGGGTGACTCCTTCGGAAAGAGAAACGTTAAAAACCCGTGCAACTGGTTTCGAGAGCTCGAAAGAAAATTCCTTTAGAATACGTGCGGGGATGTGCTTAAATTGTATATTATCTATATGAATGGTCTATTTATTTTCTAAAATCATATTTGGTCAGTAAATGATGAATTGTTTTGAATTCTAAAATGATCTATTTTTTCAAAAATCAAAACTGTTTACTTTGGGTGTCAAACCCTGATAAAGGTACAAGTATATAATAAATAGGTTATCGTACTCGGGATTCGGTGATATCAGTTTTATCGCTCTCGGGACGATATCACAATTGTCCCTCGCTCGCTGCGCTCGCTCGTGACAATTGTGATATCATCCCTCGAGCGATAAAACTGATATCACCGAATCCCTTATATGATAACCTATATATATATATATATATATATATATATATATATATATATATATATATATATATATATATATATATATATATATATTTAGAATTAGGTTTCGTTGTTTACAAAAACATTTGGCAGAGTGCTCAATGGATATCCAGAGCATAATTAAATAAGTGCAACGACTCAACAAATTCCACTAGGCATCTTTATTACTATTAGTGTCGTTTCTTGTGGTACGATATATATATATATATATATATATATATATATATATATATATATATATATATATATATATGCATGGAATGCTACCTTCAGATAAACTGCCTATCTTTTTCTTGAACCAAACCTTGAACCCCAGACACGCGTGTCTGGGTATTGGGTGTCAAGACTCGGATGTTTATATCATGATGAACTGACTGCATGTATGCATGAAGCTATATCTTTCAAGTTACGTAAAAGAAAATATTCGTTTGATCGATTTGTAAGGAGTATGACAATGGAGTATGATTCCCTGAATTCAAAAGGTTGCTCCATCCACTTCTAGTTTTGAGATCAGTGATATTGGTGAATGATGATCAGCAAAAATTGCAAGAGTATAACACCGGCCTTAATGGACATTTGCATTATAGTCTAAATTTTGATCTGGACAAAAATTTCATCACAGCTTGAAAGAGCTTCACAAAATTAGTAATATTCAAAAGTTTCGTTGCGAAATGTTGTAAAATGCGAATAATATAGCCTTGCGAAATTTGCAATTTCAGTCATTTTGTATTACAAACGGGAAATTGATGCCCGAACACGCGATTGGGCTGTCAATTTCCCGCGTGCGTAATACAAAATGACTGAAAAACGGCAAACTTCGCATGGCTATATTATCCGCATTTTACAACATTTCGCAACAAAATTTTGGAATATTACTACGGTTTGTTTACATTTTGAACTGCTGTATTTTTTAAAATATGATGTACTGTCTGAATATCTAACACCATTTTGGTTCTCTAATCGCTATGCTTCTAAATGAATATGAAATAGAGTTTATGTTCAGAAAAATTCAAAGCATTCGAAATTTAGGCAATTTTTACATTAGAGGGCCCTCACATTGTTATGAGCAGAACCGATGCGCAGAACGGACTTGACTTCCACTTTAAGTGTATACAACTTTAATTATTGTTCATATATACATATATGCAAATTGTGTAAGACTACAATAACACGAGGTTGCATGGGCGCATTCGGAACCTTATACCAAACCTCGTCCAATGCACTTACTATTGGTTTCATGCGTCTTTATTTATTGTTCAGACAAACTGGGGAAGGGAACAATGGAGCAAATCTCAGTACAGTTTCCAATTCTGGTCAGATGTGAACCCCATGAGTCTACTTCCATAACATGCTTGCAGATACAGTTCACTCATATATGCTTCGCATTTCTAATTCGTGCAATATACAATGCATTGATGCAATTAATTTACAGTGTTGACTGTCATCCAGCGCGGTGGCAATGGAATTGCCGGACTTTTTTGTCTCAAGGAGATGATTGTGCTGCGTTATCCTTACCCATGCCAAACCAAAGCTGAGTCGTAGAGTTATTATTCTGTGCACAACGATGTACTTTTCTAACACAGTCAGGAGGAAGATTATAACCGCTAAAATAGTTGTGCGTGGAGCCGGAACAATAAGGCCAACTGTTGAACGTACAAGTAGGAATTGTTTCGTAAATATTGACATGCAATGGCCAGTTTCCATCACGATAAAGCTTAATTTGACAATCACTTAAATCATATTCTCCAATTTTACCACGCCCACTGCCAATAGTAACATAAGATGTATGATAATACCAGTTGGTGTCAAGAACATCAACAACCTTTTCGCTTCCTTCTTCCCACATTTTAATATTTCCAAGCGGAATTTGGACATAGTCGGATTTTTTTATATCATGGTATTTCTCGTAGTCACAGGTGAACTGCAGAAAAGTTGAATTATCTTTTATAGATTCCATTCTTGGTTTCCTAAGTCTATAGCTGTTCCATGTTAGAGCATTTTCACTGATAGGAAGGTCTTCAGCTACAGATTTTTGAACTGATCAAGATATCTATTTGCAAAACTGTAAGACTGCACCAAAGTCCAAGCACCATCAGGATCAAAATGACAGTATACTTCATACACTGTCCCGTCAGGACCTACTACCTTATACATACCCGACATCCGAGAACCTTGGGCATATCCTTGGCATGACATGATTGGCTGGTCACAATTTTCTCCATGGTAACCATCTCGGCATTCGCAGGTAAAACGTTTCCAGGGCTGTTCTTGGGAGTTGATTGGTTTACATGTTTTGTTCTCGGGACAGAGACCTGATTGTTGACAACAGTTGTACTTCATTGGACAACTTATGCCTGCCAAACACTGGTCGTCCAGTTTCTGAGAAAATAAAGTGTAATATGGTTACAATCGTGAATATTTAATTACAAAATATTGGATGTATATGCAAATATTTACACAGGAAATACCCGGTTGAAATATCTCAAAAATATGACAAATTTAACTTTTTACTTTTTAAATTGACCTAGTTACATGTGATTACCTGAAACGTTTCTGTCAAATGTCGCACTTCGTATGTAGCATAGACGCAGTCATCTTTGTCATGAAGCAATGGACTGTTCTCTTTCTTGTGACTTGAACACAGTTGACATTTTGTGTTTCCACAAATTTGAAACGACTGACACCGACAGTTCTCTAGACAGTGCTCCAGACAATCTGCTATGTTTCCACTTTTTATCTTGAACGTTTCGACAAGACAGGAATTGTCAAATGCTTTTTGTTTCACTGCTTTTATGGTAAATTGTGGTTGACTGTTGAACATTGAGGCGTTCCAGGTGTAAGACAGCGTTGCCAAAACAATGGCGGCTAGACTATATCAAGTAAAAACATGAAGGTCAACCTTTTAGTTAAACTGTTTTAGTTAATTATTTAATACAGACACTCTATATATCAGTAACGTTCATTGATAATGCCGTAGCAAGTCTCATAGGTATGGTGCCTTCCAATGGACAACTTGCATGTTAGACTAAATTTTAATCTAAGTAAAGAGAAGGGAATAAAACACAACAGTTAAAAAGAAAATAATGAAATTAGTAAAATTGCAAAATTTGGTTGCGAAATGTTGTAAAATACAGAAAATATAGCCTTGCGAAATTTGCATATTAATTATTTTCAGTATATTTGTATTACGTGCGGAAATTGTTACCATTTTCGGCTAAAAAATGGTGAAATTTTTGTCTAGATCAAAATTTTAGTTATAAGGGGAAAGGTCCATTGCGGAGGACACATGAGTTGAATCTGATCGATTCGAAGGCGAGTCGAAACATCATTTAAGACAGTTTAATACACGTATAGCTCTTTCCTTGGCAGATTTTAAGTATAATTGACAACAATTTTTGTTTTATTTCATGCAGTTTCACGGCCCCTAACGTTTTTGCGCCACCTAAAATCCCTCACAGTGGGCTGAGTGTTGGGGGCATGGCCACCCGTCATGCAGTACGTCGCTGCTACCTGTCAGGAGTGTCGGTTATTTCTAACCGGTAATAATGAATTGAAGTGACGCAATTATTCACATATTATAAGCACTTTGTTCTTGAATTAAGTAGAAACTAATTATTTTTATGTGGAAAACATAATATAT